CACAAAAGAACCGGAAACTACAAAAGAAATCCACGTCAGTCATAGCAAAAAAATAACAACATGAAAAACCCAAGTAATATATCCCCACCAAGTATCAATAGCCCTCTAGAGGAGTACAGTGAGAACCCCCTAGATATAATGCAGGACATGGAACACAAAAGAACAATTGTAAACATGATAAAAGAATTCAGTGAATTTAAAGAACACACAAACAAAGAAATCAAAGAACTGAAGGAAGATAGGGATAAACTTCTGAATGAATTCAGAAAAGAGATAGAAATATTGAAGACTACTCAGGCTGAAATGAAGAAGGAAGTGAAACACTCAGTAAGCCAATTAGAAACGACAGGAGAAATGCTTACCAATAGGATGAATGAAATGGAAAAGAGACTATCAAGACTGGAAGATAAAGTGGACAAACTAGACCACTCAAGCAAAGATTATAAAAAATTTAAGAAAGCACAAAAATGGGATATGTAGGAATTGTGTGGCACCATAAAAAGACCGAACTTACAAAACATAGGCATACAGAAAGGAGAAGAATCCGAAAATAATGGCATGAACCAGATCTTCAACAGAATCGTAGAAGAAATTTTTCAAAAATTAAATAAAAACATGCCCATACAAATACAAGAAGCATACAGAACACCAAACAGCCAAGACCAGAAAAGAAACTCTCCAAGGCACATCATAGCAAAAATTCTAAATGTACAAAATAGACAATACTGAAAGGTGCAAAAGTAAAACAAGTCACATATAAAGGAAAACCCATCAGAATTACAGTTGACTTTTCAGTGCAAACTATGAAAGCCAGAAAAGCCTGGACCAAAGTATTCCCAATTTTAAATGACCACAGATGCCAACCCAGATTACTATATCCAGCGAAAATGTCTATTATAGTCAAAGGGGAAAGAAAAACCTTCCATGAAATAAATAGGCTGAGGAATTCATGTACATAAAACCAGCCCTTCAGAGAGTTCTGAAAGCAATACAAAGAGCTCAAGAAAGGAATGACTATATCCAAGGGGTTCTGGAAAGAAATTCGATGAAGTCATAACTGTGAAAAAGTACAGCTATATCAAGAATGTAAACAGAAATAAAAATGACAGGATTCAATACTCATCTTTCATTAATAACTTTAAATATTAACAGATTGAACTCCCCAGTCCAAAGACACAAACTAGGTGAATGGATTAAGACACAAAACCCATCTTTTTGTTGTCTGTAAGAAACTCATCTCACTTTCAAGGATAGGCACTATCTTAATGTGAAAGGATGGAAAAAATATACCAAGCGAATGGTACTAAGAAAAAAGCAGGCATTGCAATTCTAATATCTGACAAAATAGACTTTAAACTAAAATTAATCAGAAGAGATAAAGAAGTCCATTTCATTCTGATGAAAGGAACAATAAATCAAGAAGATATTGCAATCATGAGCATATATTCACCAAACTCTGGTGCACCCAACTTCATAAAAACAATACTACAGGACTTTAAGACCAAG